TAATGCCTGTAAGTCCGTAAGTACTAGTTAGTTATCTTTAATGAAGAAAAAGGAATGGAGGATGTAATAGTGAGTACATCTAGTAGGTAGTCTTGTGGTTGATGTAGATGTACTTGGGGAAAGAATTCAGATGATAACATTTCTAGAATAATTGTACGTAAGTATCCTGGATAATGTGGAATGAGGAAGAACATTCATGTAGTTGACATCAACTGGTTTGGGATTGAGACTTAGTTAAACTGAGTCAAATTGAGTTATAAATAAGAAACTAAATCGCAACTGAGTGGCCATTTGGGCTTATTTATATCTGAAGTCATTTTATATTTATTGAACAGATCTCTTTATTTGTGATATTTGTTGAAGTCTCTAGATTTTATCATAAATATCTGTGTTATATTTGTATGTGGTAACCTTGTGTTGTTTATATTGAATACTTAATTCTATGCAGGTTCATTTTCGGCGAATAATTGCTCCACATACTGACATTAATTTAGGCGACTGTTCTTTTCTTGACACTTGCCGTCACATGAAGGTAACAATGTTTTAATTCAATTCAACCACTTTAATTTGGTTTCTCTCTTTTTTTTTTTTTTTTTTTTTGTGAGAGTGATAAACTAGTGTTTCCTTCTATATAGACATGCAAGTATGTCCACTATGAGCTTGACCCTGAGAGAGATTTACCACCCACTGTGATGGGTGCTGGAACTCTTCCTCTCTCCAAACCATTAAAGCCTCAGCGTCCTGAGTATTGTTCTGAAGTAGAACTTGGTGAACCACAATGGATTAACTGTGATATTCGTACTTTTAGAATGGACATTTTAGGACAATTTGGAGTCATAATGGCAGATCCTCCATGGGATATTCATATGGAATTGCCTTATGGGACAATGGCTGATGATGAGATGCGCAACCTTAATGTTCCTGCATTGCAGACTGATGGTCTGATTTTCCTTTGGGTTACTGGACGTGCAATGGAGCTTGGACGGGAATGGTAAGTATATAACTATCTTTTAGTACCTTGGTACACAGTTTATCTGCTCTGCACTAGAAGCTATGAACAAGCTTATTTGAGTGATTTTCACCTTGCAGTTTAGAACTTTGGGGATACAAGCGTGTCGAGGAAATAATATGGGTAAAGACTAATCAACTTCAGCGAATAATTAGGACTGGGCGAACGGGCCATTGGCTCAATCACAGTAAGGAGCACTGCCTCGTTGGAATAAAAGGGAATCCAGAAGTAAATAGGAATATTGATACTGATGTCATTGTTGCTGAAGTTCGAGAAACAAGCCGCAAGCCGGATGAGGTTTGTTTAACATTCTATAATCTTTGATGATCAACCCATTTCACTTGAACAATACTAGTTTGTCTCTTTAGATAAGACTTTTCATTCTAATGCTGGCTTGACACATGCTAGTGGCTAAATATTTTTCTTTTTGTGATTTGAATGTCACAAGTATTGTTTTCTGCAGGGTTGTTTCAGTTCAATATGTCTTGTCATTACTTATGCAAATTGATTCAAAATAATTTAATTCTTCCATATCTTGTATATGATCGAGGTCATACAAATTTATTCTGGCAGATGTACCCTTTGCTGGAGAGAATAAGTCCAAGGACAAGAAAGCTGGAATTGTTTGCTCGAATGCACAATACTCAAGCAGGGTATGCTTTCTTGACTCATAGTTTTTCTTATTTTTAGATGATTTTACGTTTCTCGACGCATTACTGAAACTGATCTTGTCCAAATTAAATTTGATATGATGAGGGTGCCAACTGGACATTTTTTAAGGGCTTACGACCGTGGACCATCTTCATTTTAAATAATAGTTTTGGAGACTCCCAAAGCTGAAGCAATCTGATGGTGTAGTTCTTTGAATTTGAGTTTTTCATTAGGACAATAAGAGTTACCTCTTTTGAAACCAACCAAAAAAAAAAAAAAAAAAAAAAGTTGTGTTGCAATTCCTTTCTGCATTCACTTATGACCCTTGTCTATGAAAATTCAGGCATTGAAAATTTCCTATTATGTCATGAAAGAAAGTTTTTGCAGGTGAATCCTTTTTCAGCTTCTTATTTAAACCTGGTCTCTTCTTTGTCATCAGGTGGATGTCACTTGGCAATCAGTTAGAAGGAGTAAGATTGGTTGATGAAGGCCTGCGAGCAAGGTTCAAAGCTGCATACCCGGATGTGGCGGTGCAGCCTGTCTCTCCTCCTAGGGCTTCTCCAATGGAAATAGACTCCAATGCTACTCAAACTAGGAGCCCTTTTTCTGTAAATGAATCAAGGTCCTCTGTCATGCAGTTTGCAGACTCCGAAGCTCCTGAGGTTCCTTATGCCTCTGAAGAGAGGCCAATGGCTGTAGATGCTGATATGGTCAACTAAACTAAATTAAATGCCGAGATTACCAGGAACTTTATTCTTCACCAGCTCACAGTAGTTGAGAGCCAATTTTTCAGTTGTTCCTGTGTTTTCCTTTTCTTGTTTTTTAGAATTTTGCGCACTAGAGTAGAAATATGTGTTATACATCTGAGGTTCCCCATTAGTCAAGGCTATTTTTGTAAACCCATATGGCAGAGCATGTAAAGTTCAAATTTCTTTTAGCAATCGGTCATTTTTGTTATTCTGGGCAGTCCCAAGATGAGCAGGGCCTAGGGTATTACCAATAACCAGCAGCAATCCATTAGAAACAACTTTGCACTGAACTGGAAGCGACAATTCTATTTGCTGTTAATTTGTGAGGCCCCAGCATTGGCTACTGTACCCACAGAGATAACAAATTAGAAGCTGTCAGCACCATGTTCACAACCAGCTGGCAATTATAAATTAATGGAATTGGAAAAAGCCTTTGTTCCCTCCATGATATTAGGCGGTGCTTTTCTTGGATGTATAATTGTATATATGGTTAACTTTGTTGTTTTTTTAACCTGGAAATTGGTGTTTTCTTTTCTTAGAAGACTGAGCAACTTTTCCTTTTTACAAGCTTATAGATTCTCTTTTGCTATTCAAACTCAAAATATAGCATTTATTATTCAAAAGAATAATAATTTGATTTCTTAAATAGTAGAAAAGAATTACAATATAAAAAATTATCAGATGAACCAACACGCCAAAATTCATAGAACCAATTATACAGAAAACTGTAATATGCAAAAAATGTGAAGAATTACAGCAGAAAAGTAGCTGAAATCTGAATAGTTATGCGCTTCACATGATGCCACTGAATATTGCAGATGCTGTTGATGCAATAACAGCTGTTAAGAAGACTGAAAAACTTAGCTGCAATGGTGAAGAAGAAGTAGAAGGTGGCTGTGGAATTGGACCAAACACAGTAGGGTAAGATGGTGCAGAGTCAGGCAATGCACCGGGATCGGAAGAAGGAGAGTAAGCAGACACATTCCCAACAGTTATATGTAGTTTCTGCTTCTTTGCACAATACCCCGGCTCTCCACTAGTGAAGTAAAAATCCCCATTTGTAGTTACATTAAACAAAGAGTTGCCATTGTTCATGTGCAGGATTGGATCAGTAATGTTACATGAATTATAGGATGATTCAGTGACTTGAATCACTGAATCTTGACTTGGTGGGTACAAAAACACTGCAATATTAATCAGAATAAGCATAAAGGTTATCAGACGAAAGCTTATCAATAACTTTTTCATGGCAATCAAGATAAAGAATGCAAGATCTCGAAGAACTTACAGAGAGAATCTCCAATCCTGAGGTTGTTGTACTTGGACCACTTGGCGTAGACCAATGGATTTGCAGAAGTGGGAACTCCCCAAGCATGTAAATCACCAACCTTGTACTGATAACATAACACTTTGGTTTGTACAAACAAAAGAAACTGAAAAGCAAACAATAAGTGAAATCTACAGCTTCTAAGATTGGCCATCTTCCTTTTGCTCTCAAACTAACTCTTTCCTTTCTCAAATTTAGGAGCGAGTCAGGACACTTGAAGGCCAAATCTTATTGGATTTTAATTGTATAGACAGATTGCAGAAACAGGGACAAGTTGAGTGCTCATTTACCTGAATGCCCTCTCAGAGTAAAATAAGCAAGTTGTGTTTAACCAAGTCTGACCCAGTTATCAAAGACATGGATAGAGAGGGAAAATCATTATTTTAAAGGGCTAAGATTGAGAAAAGAAAAAAGATAAATTATATGGCTAATAATGGCACATGGGCCAGTTGGATGGAGTTAGCAAATGGTATGTTCTGTTTTGTCAAATATAAATTTCATTGAATTCAATTATCAATTCATCATGTCATGTGGAGAGGACAGTGAGACTTGTCTGCTCTCACATGGTAACTCCTCTGGGATTACCATCTCCAATAGACACTTTTGAACTCCATTTACAGCAAAATGGAAATGCAGCCGTCTCCTTGCCTCATTATACCATGAGGCCATCAATTTCTTTATTTATTTACTTNACATCTGAGGTTCCCCATTAGTCAAGGCTATTTTTGTAAACCCATATGGCAGAGCATGTAAAGTTCAAATTTCTTTTAGCAATCGGTCATTTTTGTTATTCTGGGCAGTCCCAAGATGAGCAGGGCCTAGGGTATTACCAATAACCAGCAGCAATCCATTAGAAACAACTTTGCACTGAACTGGAAGCGACAATTCTATTTGCTGTTAATTTGTGAGGCCCCAGCATTGGCTACTGTACCCACAGAGATAACAAATTAGAAGCTGTCAGCACCATGTTCACAACCAGCTGGCAATTATAAATTAATGGAATTGGAAAAAGCCTTTGTTCCCTCCATGATATTAGGCGGTGCTTTTCTTGGATGTATAATTGTATATATGGTTAACTTTGTTGTTTTTTTAACCTGGAAATTGGTGTTTTCTTTTCTTAGAAGACTGAGCAACTTTTCCTTTTTACAAGCTTATAGATTCTCTTTTGCTATTCAAACTCAAAATATAGCATTTATTATTCAAAAGAATAATAATTTGATTTCTTAAATAGTAGAAAAGAATTACAATATAAAAAATTATCAGATGAACCAACACGCCAAAATTCATAGAACCAATTATACAGAAAACTGTAATATGCAAAAAATGTGAAGAATTACAGCAGAAAAGTAGCTGAAATCTGAATAGTTATGCGCTTCACATGATGCCACTGAATATTGCAGATGCTGTTGATGCAATAACAGCTGTTAAGAAGACTGAAAAACTTAGCTGCAATGGTGAAGAAGAAGTAGAAGGTGGCTGTGGAATTGGACCAAACACAGTAGGGTAAGATGGTGCAGAGTCAGGCAATGCACCGGGATCGGAAGAAGGAGAGTAAGCAGACACATTCCCAACAGTTATATGTAGTTTCTGCTTCTTTGCACAATACCCCGGCTCTCCACTAGTGAAGTAAAAATCCCCATTTGTAGTTACATTAAACAAAGAGTTGCCATTGTTCATGTGCAGGATTGGATCAGTAATGTTACATGAATTATAGGATGATTCAGTGACTTGAATCACTGAATCTTGACTTGGTGGGTACAAAAACACTGCAATATTAATCAGAATAAGCATAAAGGTTATCAGACGAAAGCTTATCAATAACTTTTTCATGGCAATCAAGATAAAGAATGCAAGATCTCGAAGAACTTACAGAGAGAATCTCCAATCCTGAGGTTGTTGTACTTGGACCACTTGGCGTAGACCAATGGATTTGCAGAAGTGGGAACTCCCCAAGCATGTAAATCACCAACCTTGTACTGATAACATAACACTTTGGTTTGTACAAACAAAAGAAACTGAAAAGCAAACAATAAGTGAAATCTACAGCTTCTAAGATTGGCCATCTTCCTTTTGCTCTCAAACTAACTCTTTCCTTTCTCAAATTTAGGAGCGAGTCAGGACACTTGAAGGCCAAATCTTATTGGATTTTAATTGTATAGACAGATTGCAGAAACAGGGACAAGTTGAGTGCTCATTTACCTGAATGCCCTCTCAGAGTAAAATAAGCAAGTTGTGTTTAACCAAGTCTGACCCAGTTATCAAAGACATGGATAGAGAGGGAAAATCATTATTTTAAAGGGCTAAGATTGAGAAAAGAAAAAAGATAAATTATATGGCTAATAATGGCACATGGGCCAGTTGGATGGAGTTAGCAAATGGTATGTTCTGTTTTGTCAAATATAAATTTCATTGAATTCAATTATCAATTCATCATGTCATGTGGAGAGGACAGTGAGACTTGTCTGCTCTCACATGGTAACTCCTCTGGGATTACCATCTCCAATAGACACTTTTGAACTCCATTTACAGCAAAATGGAAATGCAGCCGTCTCCTTGCCTCATTATACCATGAGGCCATCAATTTCTTTATTTATTTATTTTTTGTGACTAGGGGTTGTCCGAACCAGTTTGCGTACACTTTAACTAATCTCTCAGAACCTTGCAATTGATAGCCAGGTAAATCCCCTCAATGGTAATCCCTATTATCACTCTATGTGGATCGAACTCAGGGCTTCTTAAGTAATACATCCAAGAGACCTAGTTGACCGTTGGGCCACCCCGTGGTAGTTCAAGCCATCAAATTCTGTATTCAACAAGAATTGATGGATTAAACTTTAAAGAAAGGGAGATGGACTTATAAATCCCATCCATAAACTGCGCATTCAAACTTTATGAATATGACAGCGGAACAGCTGATTCAAGAAAGAGCAATCAGAAAAATTAAGAAACATACATATCGGAGAAAAGTTCATGTTGATTATATCAATTCTGAGATGAATTCAAAGGTACATTAATCTGTGCACAGAGCAATGTAACACATTTCTGTATCAACATTTGAGGAGATATATTGAGACGTTGTGCAGCGTAAGTCTACAATACTTGGAAAAGAAAGAAAAGAGAGAAAAAATAGCTATCTAAAAGCACCAAGTCTAGTCATTCTTTCACCTTGGAATAATTCCAGACTTTGTACTCACGGCTTGAATGTCCATAGTACTGTAATATCAATAAGGACTCAAACCCATAATTCTTCCTCTCTTCAATAATTACATTGCAGTTTGGAACAAAAACAAGAAGATGGCAGGTTGCAAACTTAATTCAGAAGTTTTATTCCTCAAACTGAATCAAATATTCAGAGGTTCTGTCTCTGTATCTCTCTTCATTGCTGTCCAATCTTCTGATCCTGTAACAAAAAAAATGTATCCATGATGAAGGTTTCTCACAGAGAAAAATGAGAGGCAAAATACCAAAAATATTCCGGAAACGGGAAAGGCTGTCAGGAAGTTTAGGCTAATAAATTAAGTTTTATGACATAAGAAATAGTCTCGAACTTCAAGTGTTTATAAGTGTACCATGGCCATTCAGCCCTGCTTAACTATGAAATTGAGGAAATAGCGGGATTCCAAGGCAAACAGAAACTTACTCGACTTTTGACCTTCTGCAATCACCATTAGCCGCCTCTGCAGTACAGATGCCATGACGAGGAAAATCGAGCACATGCCAAACATGATGGTGATGGGAAATGCATCAACCTTCAAAAAAGATTCAGCCATTTGTAATAGCACAGGAAAGAATAACTGCTTTGCTCCCTTTCGGGGTGGGGTGAGGGTTTAAACCTCCAAATATCTTGTGAAAGTTCATGCAACTATGTCATAGAACTCTGATCTCATTTTCCAATAATAGTAACATCCAAAATTCGGTATCAAAAGAAAGGAGAAAAATAGAGTAAAACATTAATAACATTTATCAACTCACATTGTACAACACAATGCAGACAAACATGTTGAGAGGAATGCGAAAGAAATTCATGATGGTGCTCCTAGCCTCCTCGGGAATATATTGGGACCTCATCTTCATGATAGATGGCCAAAATATCCCCACACAAGCTTCAAATGTGCAGAAGCCAAGGAGCTGAATGCAGCCAGAAAATGAAATGCCACCACCTTTTGTGCCAGAAGGTATATCCAAGAACTGTTGAATAAGAACCATCAGTATTTCCACAACAGTTCAATTTAAAATTTGCAGAGTTAAAAAAGAAGACAAATAAAAATAGAGGAAATAACACCCCAACATACATTTGTTAAAATGGGAAGCAGGAGAGAAGCCGCAGAGACTACAAAAACAATCTGCATATAGCTCTCAACTCTTGGAGATGAACGGGCCAAAAGTCGAGCGGCAAATGAGCTTCCCAACATTGAAGCCAGCATGAAAGTTGCGAATATGAACCCATGTGGTATTTCCTCATCATTTGGGCTCAGGGCAGGAGTCCAAAGGAACACAAAAGTGTACATTGAACCTTCAAATAGAGATTGTATAGCGCCCAACAATGCAACCTTCTCATCTGATCCCACATGGAATGTTATATTAACAGAACTTTCCAAAATGTTTTAAAGAAAAGTAAGTAGAGAATGAAAGAGAAAAAGGTTGGGGGGTGTTGATGACATGATGAGGGTCTCCATATCCTCTTGGTATCTATCTCATCTATAAAACTTTTATAAATATACTACACTTAAATGGAAAATTAGATTTGGCAGCCTGCAAATAAAAGGGCTACAAAGCTAAGCATACCAATAGTTTGTGATAGTAGGTGTATGAATATTCAACTGATTTAATTTTCTGTAGAAGACAGAACTTAAAAGGATGAGATTAGAGATTCACCAGAAGCAATGGCAACAGCAGCACTCCTGAACTGGGCAAGCAAATTCTTGTTATCTGAAGAGTCTCCAAAGTTCTCAGTCCACGATGACAATATAATTGCCATGCCAATGGCAAGAAAGCATGCAGCCGCGTCAAAAGGAGCAACTGGGCTTAAGCCCAGAGTATCAACCAGTAAATTAGCAAACAACCCAGAGATAATAGCTACTAAACCATTTCCAAGAAATACAGCCTTGGAGAACGTTATTGAAAGCCATTGTTGATCAAAACCCCTCTGAAAATTAAAAAAAGGGCAACAAGAATGAAACAAAATACTTCTACAAGGAAACCTGAATGCAAAAACCTACTGCATAACTCTGGTGGACCTCAAAGAGTTCTTGGATAGACAACCCAGCAACCACAAGAAGTTTTTGATCCATGGAATTTCAGTGGAGAGAACAGTCTTACATTAAAACACCTTTATCTTGATCTGTGTTTTTCAACCCCTGCCAGCGCCACCAACTAATTCTAACCGGAAATGTGATACATAACCTTTTTAATGTACAACTTATAGTAATAGACAGTTGATGACAGCTCTATAAGCCATTCGGTAATATGCTTCATGATGTGATGAATGTAAAATAGTACACACTTCTAACTTTGCAAAGAATCCACTGGAGCAGGATTTAACTCAAAACACAAACACATATACAGCACAGAATGCCTTTCAAGAAATCTAAAAGATTAGATTATTTAAGAACAGAATAGAAATTCATTAGTCAAGCAACGACAGACCTTATTGTGCTCTGCAACAAGCCAAGACTCAAAGGCTGAGAAGAGTAGAGAAGTGGCAATGCCTCCCAATATACGTCCCAACATCAAAACTTTGTACTGAGGAGAATGTTTGGTGATGCAGCTTAGGATATAAGTCATACAGTAAGTTACACATGCTCTCCTGCGGCCCCTAAATTTGGCATACAATTTACTTGTAATTTATTAATTCCAACCCATCCCTAACGCGGTACAATAATATAGCAATCCAAATATGATCAGAAAAGGTTGTACCGTTTGTCAGCCAAGGACCCAACAATTGTTCCAAAAAACATAGAGGATGCAAAACCAGCAATAAAGAGCTGCCCAATATCTCCTTTACTATATCCGTACTGGCTGTAAAGGTAGTAAACATAGGGACCCTGCAGCCAATCTCCGGCTATAGCCCAACCAATTTAATTAGCTATGGGAGAAGACCAATAATTAATAACATCAACGGAAACTTCCCCCCATTTAAACAAAAAATTCTGACAGCCTCGCTATATTCATTTTCCCAATGTCGAAAGCTAACCAGAAGCTTAACATATGATGATAAAAAAAATTAAAAATTTGAATACACATTGGTTTAGTTTTCAATATATGCCCTAGATCATCAACAGAAAGACACAGCATTGAAGGCACGTCATAAAATATGAAAAAGAAATTGAGAATTGAGAGAGATTACACATCATGAGAGAGTAAACAAGGAGGTAGTTGTTCTTGAAAACATTGAAAGAAGAGGGGGTATTGATTCGGTCTTTGATGTTTTTGCTGAGCTCCAAGGCAGCAACAACTGCCGCCAGAAAACCAAAAACAAGAAAGTAAAAGGCCTCCATTTCTCTGTTTTCTTCAATTCTCTTGCAGCAGCAGTTTGATATATGTATTGTGCAAAGAGAGAAGGAGAAGTAATGTTAAAAGTGACTTGGCATCAACTAATTAACCGACATACGAGGTGGGGTTGATTTGTCATTCAAGAAAGTGCCCCCTCTCAATCTGTTTTGTCATTTCCCGTGAATCTGTAGCCTACTCTTATTAATTATTAATGGTTTTTTTTTTTTTCAATATTTATCGGAAACTTTTAATCATTATTTAACAGAAAAAATTAATATAATTGATTTGTTTCAACGAAATCTCTGTTCATTTAATTTTCGTAATTTCAAAATCGTTATAGACTATAAATACTAGTATTGGAGCCTGTTTAAGTAACAATAGGCGCATCCTGCGGCATTGCAAAGCCAGCCAGATAACCCCCACCACTTCCTAACTCTGCCTTCTCAGCAAAACTTATCATCTCCTTGACTTTCTCGCCTCCCGGGTCCCGCAAGCACCCTACACTCGCACTCAAATCCAATGGTCCCACCACCGTCTGAGATCTCGCCGATTCTCTTCACACCCTCCTCTGTTTCAACCTGGCATATTATCAGCAACTCTTTTTCATACTTGCAGCTCCACGTGCACCAGCAGGCGGTTACTTGCAATATGATACAGCTTTTTGGGCGGAATCAGGATCGTCGATCATGGGGAACATGAGGCCATCTGGGCCCAAGTCGGGGGCTTTCTTGGCCCAAGTTGGTGACTTCTCTGGTAACCGAAGAATGGCGGCAGTGTGGGTAGCAGCGAGTGTGTGGAGGCAGGATAGAGCCTGAGAGATGCCACCGTGGTCATGTTCCATGTCAACAAACCACAAAGTCATAGCCGGCTTGACCAGAAATTTCTGCTAAGGTTGGCAAGAAGCTGAGCAGGAATAGGCCGTAAAGAGTCTCTCCATTGTTGAGACGACCTTTTAAGGTTTTAGTAGCAGTGATGTTGTTGGAAGAATCCATGTTAATTTGTTTTAAGAGGAAGGATGACTTCATATCCCCGAAGTTTTACGTAAACGATGGAGGAAATGTAAATCGTTTGATAATGACATTAAGTTTGTGTTGTGGGGTAGATAGACGAGAAGTGCAGATGAGTGTAAAAGCGTGTCACAGGTGTTAAAAAGTTAAGTTCATTGTCAAGCAGTACCGTACGTAAAGGGCCAACCTCCTCTGTTTCCGAGAGCTTATCTTAGTGCATATTATTCCGCTGGTTATGAGAATTTTAGTTGATTGTGTTGTGACTGGTAGAGCTCTTCCCAGCTGAACTTTTATGCGAAGATGAATGTCAGTTCAAATCCAGATAGAGTTGAAGAAAGCGATAGCTTTTAGCTATTTGATCCTAGAAATGGGAAAATTTTATTTAATGGTAAAACAATTTGGAGAAAGGAGCAATTAGTTTAATCAATTCATCTCCCTCTCAGGAAGTCATTAACAGATCAATCCACGTAACTCATTTTACCATTATATTGACTCCCAGAAAAAAAAAAAATGTCTTTTAAATTTTGCAACTCTAGAGATCATTTAACACAGTCACAGTCATCCAGACCATAGTTCATTAGCTTGAGGGATTTCTTTCCATGGCTACAAATTTAGCACTTCAATCTTATAATTGTAGTTCTGTGTTCAGCTTCCCATGACAAAAAAGTTTTATGAGGCAACATTGAAGGAGAGCAATGGCAATGGCAGGAAATTGTGTCTGTCATGCTTGTTCTATTTGTATGAATAGCTCTCATTTCAACACCTCTGCTTTTCCTACAATTTTTCCTTGGAAGGAGAGCAATAGAAATGGTAGGAAATTGTATCTATCATGCTTAGTCTATTTGTACGCAGAGCTTTCAACACTNGTCAGTTCAAATCCAGATAGAGTTGAAGAAAGTGATAACTTTTAGCTATTTGATCCTAGAAATGGGAAAATTTTATTTAATGGTAAAACAATTTGAAGAAAGGAGCAATTAGTTTAATCAATTCATCTCCCTCTCAGGAAGTCATTAACAGATCAATCCACGTAACTCATTTTACCATTATATTGACTCCCAGAAAAAAAAAAAATGTCTTTTAAATTTTGCAACTCTAGAGATCATTTAACACAGTCACAGTCATCCAGACCATAGTTCATTAGCTTGAGGGATTTCTTTCCATGGCTACAAATTTAGCACTTCAATCTTATAATTGTAGTTCTGTGTTCAGCTTCCCATGACAAAAAAGTTTTATGAGGCAACATTGAAGGAGAGCAATGGCAATGGCAGGAAATTGTGTCTGTCATGCTTGTTCTATTTGTATGAATAGCTCTCATTTCAACACCTCTGCTTTTCCTACAATTTTTCCTTGGAAGGAGAGCAATAGAAATGGTAGGAAATTGTATCTATCATGCTTAGTCTATTTGTACGCAGAGCTTTCAACACTTCTGCTTTTACTACAATTTTTCTTGTCTTCTGCTTTTCCAACAATTTTTCCTGTACATTTTGTAGACTCTGTGTAAGGTAAAATGCATAATAGAACAATCCATAGAACTCAATATTCATTATTTTGTTGCATACAGTTTCATGCCAGCAGTCTCAATGATTGATGATGGAAGTCAGCTTCCTGTTCTAAGAACCTATCTTACAAAACTCATTGAAAAGTTATAACTTTCGATTCAAAATTGAGACTAACAACGTAATCCCAGTTTTAGCTCTTCCACCTAATTGGTGTCGAAGGCAATCCAAAGCAAGAAAACAGAATTCACTACATTTACAAAAAAGAAAGAAGAAAAACAGCATAATGATAATTTCTTATCTGCAGAAAAAGCTATCAGACCAATCCTTCATTCGCTCCAGTACTTTTCATCAGCATCTTTCATCTGCATCCTCTCATCAGCATCAACATCAGAGTCTTCCATCAAACTCATCTTAAATCTTCTCACATCCTCCACAGCAGCACTTCGGAACAACCCAACATCAACCGCACCAGACACCATATGATAACCACGTGACTTCATTTCTTGGGGGCCATCATGGGGCATAGCAAATCCAGCCAAGTAAGCCCTACCACCACCCAAAACCCCTCTCTCCGCCACCCTCATCATCTCCCTAACCTTCTTGTGCCCGGGGTCCCACAAGTACCCCAGGCTTGCACTCAAATCCAATGGTCCCATTTGCACGCAATCAACCCCATCCACCGCCGCGATTTCTTCAACCTTTTTAACCCCGTCCGCACTCTCCACCTGGCACATGATCAACAGTTCCTCCTCGTAACTACTCAAATACCCTTCGTCAATCCCATAATCCGAAGCTCTAACCACCGTATGAGCCGATCCGCGAACTCCAGCAGGTGGAAATCGGCAGTACGACACCGCTTTCTTCGCGTCTTTGGGGGATTCAATCATGGGGAACATGATCCCTTGTGGACCCAGATCGAGAGCCTTCTTGGCCCAAGTTGGGCAACTTTCAGGGAGGCGTAGAATGACCGGTGTACGCGTGGCACCAAGAGCACGAAGGCAGGCGAGAGCATCAGAAATGCCACCAGGGCCATGCTCCATATCGACAACCACAAAATCGTAACCAGCCAACCCGGAAATTTCGGCGAGAGTCGGGGAGAAGGAGAGTAAGAAAAGACCGTAGAGAGTCTCATTGTTTCGGAGGCGAGATTTCAGGGAAAAGGAAGAGGTAGAGGGGGAAAGAGGAGCGCTTGAATCAATAGGAGAAAGATCAGAAGGGGACGGGGAAGATTTGAGCGGAGTGAGGGTCGGGAAAATCTGTTTATTGGGTTTGAAGAAGACTGATCTCGGGAATGAAATGATCTTGTTGTTGGGCAGTTTGGTAGTGACGGTGGTGGTTGGTGAAGTGCAAGTGAGTGCGGCCATAGTTGAGAGAGTGACTCGGTTTTGAAGCGTGAAGAGCTGGATTTGAGTTTTGTTTGTTGGTTTTTCCGCATTTAATGTTGACTGATCGAAGAGAAAAGGCACAAGTGTGACACGTGTTCACACCACGTAGTACAAGGTAATGAACTCTTAATGATGCTTAAATCGTATTCCAAAGACATAAACAGAACCAATCAATCAATCAATCTAATTCTTGTACAGAATTCAGTGAAACAATGTTCTCAGTTGATATAAATTAACAATGCAATATACTTTTTTCTGTGTTCAAAGCTTCAAAGCAGCACGAGCCATGGCCAAAGCGCCCTCATAACTTTTATTTCCACCAATAAATCCACTCATATGGACAAAGACGCAACCGGAGATCCCTGCCTCTTTTGAGAGTTCATCCTCATCCAGACCCCGCCACTGGGCAGGCAGAGGTCTCCGGCTCTCAAATCTACCTGGGGATACTGCCACTGCCTGCACCCGCCACCCTCTGCCCCTGTCATCCTGCATATCATAACGTTTCAGTATATTTAAGAATCATGTTTTCCATCCTACGTAAACAGCTTTTTCTTTTCCTAACAATAAAATCAAATCAGCACATTCAAATAGTTATTATTTGGGTGGTGAAGAGCTGGGGAGATCAGATAGATATAAATACAAACCTCGTAGAGTACATATTTAATAGGAGGTTCAATCTTCATCTCCTCCTCAAGCTCAAACAAGTGAAGCTTCCACTGCAAGATACACAATGAAATAAGAAACTAACACAACATCAACTGCTTTATTGACGAATTATGCCCAATTGCAGAGGCAAATTTATTCGTAGTAGAAGTGACTGATGAATTATTTTCTAACAAAGAGAAAACACTAAAACAGCCACTGCACAGAGCAGTCCATGAGTTTTTCCTTTCAACTTCCTCTTCCATTCTGCACAGGAAGCACTATGGGCGGCAAAAGTACAATTTGCTTGTAAAGCATTTTAACATTCATTACAGAACAGCATAAGAGCAAAACTATATCAATAGGGAGCATGTACTCTTACTGGACAAAATTGCTTCAAAACCATAATTTCACCACTAGGATCAATATCATATCTTTCTGAAAGACATTCCATTACGATTGATAGTGATGGTAACCATGATTTCACATGAAACCGAACAGCCTGGAAAGAGAAAAAAATATCAATAACTATAAGAGATGTGAAAAACACAAAAGGATTTTGACAACCTAAAAAGATAGAAAAAACTTCACTAGTAATCTTTTAAAGATGGAGGCCACATTATTAAAGGATGAGTGAATAGAATGAAAAGATTAAACATCGATATCAATTTCAGAAGAACCTCACATCTATAAACTCACTGCCAGCCAGAGTCATTGCTTGTCGGAAGGCTTCATTCTCCTTCTCAGATGATTGATCAGGTTCTATCCAATCCAAATTAAGCTTCCCCACCCTAGAAGACAAGTGTGTACTATTCACATATCTTGGACTTGGAGGTTTCTCCGTGTCATACTGGTTAATTCCATTGTCAACTGCATCAATTGCCTAACAAAGGTGCCAAGAATGTAAATCATTAGCCACAGTAAGACAAAATAATCCTTATCAATGGAAAAAGTATCTGAATAATGATACGGCAGCGATCTTGGCATAGAGATTTGAGTGTTTTCATAAGCAAAACATTTCTGTTAATTAATAAGCACAGTCATAGCAGTCACTCAAGGTTATATATTAGAATAGTGAATAAACTACAATATTAACACGCCAGAGCACCATAAACTTCTACTAAGTTGCAATATTGAATTTGACCAAAACAATAGTTGCTTTGAACAGGGACTAAAAAGACCCACAATCTAAAAGAAAGCACCCAAAGATATCTTAGGTCTTAACAATAAACAAAGGAAACACAAAGAATTTGGTACAAACATAATCCATTCAGAAATTAACAGCTCATTACCTATTGACAAGATTGTAGTAAAGCCAGACTTAAATTGTAAAAGATTGTCAGCTAATACCTCCATGAAGTTTCTGTAAACAGCCAAAAATAACCGATGCACATCTGGGTGTCCTTCATCAACTAGGAGCTCCTTCGCTATTATCTCCTTTCCAAAATGCTGAAGACAAAAGAAAAATAACACAGGCAAACTAAATTAATTATCAAAAAAACATTGAAACTACCACAAAACCTCGGGTCAAACTAAGCTGCAATTCAAGCACCCATTTATACCAGAACATTAATCAACCTGTTAACATACCTTGTAAACAAGACCGGCACTACTGAGTTTTGTATTGAACCCGTGTCCGAAAACCTCCTCAAACCCCTTCTGGTGATGATCATACCGGTCATTACTTGGATCATACACACCCCCAACATCAAGCACAGCATCAAGATCCTCCAACACCTGCATCCTCAAAAACAGTTCATAAACAGCCATCACATAATACAACCAAACCAATAACTTAGCCATATTTGATCAATCCCAAAAATAAATTCCAACAACAACACTGTAACAAAAAAAGAATGGTTGCTAACCTATTACTTATTGATTAAGACCATAGAAACTAACAATAAACTTAAAATCCCACTACAACGTATTCACAAAGGAAAATTTTTGGGTGCTAACAGAGTCAGCTATGCTCTTACTGACAAAATCAAGTGACAACATATAAAAAACCTTAAATAATGATTTTTTTTTTTTTTTTAGTTCATACGTAAATAAAAAAATAAATGTGGGTTAAAAAGAAAAGACCTTTGGATCTCGGGTACGGATAATTTGGGCGTTGGAGAACTTGTCAGTGAGGCGAATCATGAAACAGCCAAGAGCTTCATCGCAGTGGAAGCTGCCGTTGTGTGTGCCTATGCGCTTGAGAGGATTTTTAACGGGAGAAGAAGTAGCGACACGAGGAGAAGAAACATAAGTTGAAGGTTTAGCCATGGCTGTGAGAGGGCGAATGAGAGAGTTGCTGTGGAAGTTGAATAGCTTCTGGTTAAAAACTTTTGTGGTTAGTGACAACATCCTCAAATCGCTTTTACTTGTAATAGACACAGAACGACCTTGTCCTTTCCACTGCCTTGAACAAAAGCCCACCTAATGTTTCAATTCATGCTTCAAAAACATTAGGGTTAAGCGATACCATGGGAATATTAGGAGTCCAGGGAATATCCAAGAGAACTTAAAAGGGGACTGTGAGTACTGGAAAACATTAGGGATAAATTGGACAAAGAAGGTTCCCGGTATACCCAGAAAAAAACTTAGATTTAGAATGATATCCTGGAAAACTTCACTTGAATATACTAAATACGTAATGCTTTTACCCCAAGTGGATTATTGCTTGAATGCAATTGTTAGTCACAATGATTGCTGTGTTTGTTATTATACTGTGTTTGATAGAGCATTGGAATTGAAACTGAGCAGCATTGGGAAGAAGACAACCTCTAAATTAAGTTCTATTGCTGGTAAAACAATCAGAATTGATGTTGGGAAAACAAACTTATTTTGTTTCTCTTCCTGTCAGGTACCCCTATGGTTTCTGATTAAATAATTTATGTATAATTTTATGTAAATTCTAGAATGCTTATAGACAAGAGGAAAACGTAAAAGGAAGAGCCAGAATCAATGAAGCAGAACGCTGATTGTTGCTAAATGCAGATGGAGTCGGAAATGGGAAAGAAAGTGGAGAAATTAACAGTGTTATGGAGAGCTGGGGATCCAAACAAGTAGCCTCTCGCAAAGCTTCCCATCTCTCACTCAGCTTAGCGAAAATACTCCTTTAGTAATTGAACGAAAGTTGGAAGAAGACTGATTTCGGAAATGAAATGATTTGACAGTTGGGTACATTGGTAATTGTGAAGTACAGGACTACAGGTAAGTGTGGCCATGGTTAAGACTTAAAAGAGTTATTTGAGTCTTGGAGCGTTAAAAGACTTAAAAGAGTGATTCAAGTTCTGTTCGGTGTTTTCTCCACACTTCTGTTGATTCATTGAAGAGAAGAAGTCCCACTAGTAACATTTAAATTTGTCCATTAGAATAAAACTGCTATAGATTAAAAAAAAAAAAGGTAACGTGAACATCAAAGAGAAAACTGTTTTCATGAGGAATACATTATAACTTTATCCAAAATAAATGGACTCTAACATGGGTTAAAGAGGGCTAAATCATAATCCAGGATAAGTAAATTGTAGTCTATGAGCCATAAGTTCTATAGAAACAGCTAGCAATCAATCAGATTCTTGAAAAGAATGCTGTGAGCCTATTTTCTCAGTTGATAAAAATAGATATGCAATCTACTTTTCTGTGTTTAAAGCTTCAAAGCAGTACAAGCCATGGCCAAAGCGCCCTCATAGCTTTTATTTCCACCGATAAACCCACTCATATGGACAAAGACACAATCAGGGATCCCTGCCTCCTTTGAGAGTTCATCATCTCTAAGACCTCGCCACTGGGCAGGGAGAGGTCTCCGACTCTCAAATCTATCAGGGGATACTCCCACTGCCTGCACTCGCCACTGTTTGCCTCTGTCATCCTGTATATCATATTGTTTGTGGTAAGTTTATTTATTGATCACATCTTCTATCCTACACCAACAACATTTTCTTTTTCTAGATATTTACATGAATTAACTTGGTTCACTTTTTTTCTATTCGTGAAGAGATGTGCATTGACATAGATAGAAATATATACCTCGTAAAGAACATATTTAATAAGAGGTTCAATCTTCATCTCCTCCTCAAGCTCAAATAAGTGAAGCTTCCACTGCAAGATAGTAAATAGGAAGTTAAACATACAACCTGAAATCAAGAGTATATAATAGCTTCAAATACTTGCAAAAGATTACAAGTCACAAATAAGCATTTTTATACATCCAAGCAGAGCATTAAATTAATATCATCTAGTATCTTAACTCAAGTTGCACAGCTCTATTCAAGACAAATCATGCCCAATTTCAGAGGCAAATCATGTTGACAGTAGAAGTAATAGATGAGTTACATAACCAAAGAAGATAAAGCACTAAAAGAGCTCCCACACAGAATGTCCATCAGTTTTACCCTTACACTTTCCTCTTCCCTTCTGCACAGGAGGCACTATGGGTAGCATAAATACAATTTGATAGCAGCAAAATGCAGAAAAAGATAATGAAATGTAATGCCCAATAATAGCATTAGATTCAAATATAAAGTATTTTAAGACTCATTATAGAACTACAAAGAACAACAACATATTAATAGGAGCATGCATACTTACAGGACAAAATTGTTTCAAAACCATAATTTCACCACTCGGATCAAAATCGTATCTCGCTGCAAGACATTCCATGACAATTGACCTTGCTGGTAACCATGATTTCACATAAAACCTAACAGACTGAAAAGAGAGAACAATCATTAAAATATAAAAAAATATGAAAAACACATAAAAGTGTTGTGCGACTTAATCCTTCACATCCATTGATTAGGCTGCTCACAACCCAAAAAGATAGAAAAACCTCAAGCATAGTCTTGTAAAGATGGAGACCACACTGAATAGAACAAGTAAATAAAGCAAACAGAACAACAAGATTACATATATTTATTTCAAGAAAACCTCACATCTAAAAACTCACTGCCAGCCAGAGTCATTGCTCGTTGGAAGGCTTCATTCTCCTTCTCAGCTGATTGATCAGGTTCTATCCAATCCAAATTTAGTTTCCCCACCCTTGAAGACAAATGTGTATTATTCACATATCTTGGAGGCTTCTCCGTGTCATACTGGTTAATTCCATTGTCAATTGCATCAATTGCCTGACAAAATTAAAGCAAGTAAATCATTAACACGAGTAGGACAAACAAAAATCTATATCAATGGAAAACTATCTGAATAAAGATATGAGCAGTGACACTAGTGAAGAAATTTGAATGGCTCACAAGCAAAACACTTCAGTTAGTCACCCAATAAAAGCAAAGTCAAGTATTATGAATAAACCACAATATTAACATCACAAAGCACCAAAAGCCGCTTCTATGTTGCAGACATCAGAATTAGATATGAACAATAGTTGCACTGAACAAGGGCTAAAAAGACCCACGATCTAAAAGAAAAGCAGCAATAAAGATGGTAGGTCTTTATGAAGTGAAAGAAATCAACTATTCAACATTACCCGAATATTTGACAGAGTGAAAGAACTACCTAAAATACAAAATAATTTTGAGCAAACACTATCCATTCAGAAATGCAACAGCTTCTCATATATTCATGAGATTGTAATAGAGCTAGAATAAAATTGTAAAAATTGTCTGTATACTGAATAATTAGACATATACAAAAACTAATACCTCCATGAAGTTTTTGTAAACAGCCAAAAATAACCGATGAACATCTGGATGTGCTTCATCAAGCTGAAGCTCTTTAGCTATTATCTCCTTTCCAAAATGCTGAAGAAAAAATAAATTACACAGGAAAATTACATTAATAATCAACAAAATATTAAAAGTACCCCAAAATCAGATGTCAGATTACGTTGGACAGACTTAAGCTGAACTTCATGTACACAAGACAATTAACCAACTTGTAATATGAATAACAAAAACTGGCACATTTTATCAGAGGAATACCTTGTAAACAAGACCGGCACTACTAAGTTTTGTATTGAACCCATGTCCAAAAACCTCCTCAAAGCCCTTCTGATGATGATCATACCGGTCATTACTCGGATCATACACACCCCCAACATCAAGCACAGCATCAAGACCCTCCAAAACCTGCATCCTCAAAATCAGTTCATAAACTGCCATCATGTAGAATACAATCAAACAAACAAAAAAGAAGTGCATTTTATCAATCCCACAACAAACTGTTAAAAAAAAAAAAAGCAAGTTAGCTGACAACAAAACTAAAAAAAAAAAAAAACTTAAAATCCACACACAACCTATCGAAAGGGATGTTTTTTTTCCTATTTTAGTTCAGAAGCAAAATATATATATATATATATATTTCGGGTTAATAGAAAAGACCTAGGATCTCGGGTTCGGATAATTTGGGGTTGGAGAACTTGTCGGTGAGGCGAATCATGAAGCAGCCAAGAGCTTCGTCGCAGTGGAAGCTGCCGTTGTGAGTGCCTACGCTTGATAGGAGTGTGTAAATGGGAGAGATGTAGAGAACGGAGGAGAGAGAAGAAACATAGCTGAAGGTTAGCCATGGCAACGAGAGGGCGAATGAGAGAGTTGTGTGGAAGTTGAATAGCTTCTGGTTAAACCCTTTTGTGGTTAGTGACAACATCCTTTAAGTCGTTTTAATCGTAATAGACACAAAACGACCGGGTCCTTTCCACTGCCTAAACAAACCTCTAAGGTTTCAATTATAGTTTTAAAACATAGGGCGTTAGAATAATCATGAAAAATATTAGGGGCCGAAGTACCAAAGAAAACTTAAGGGAACAGAAGGGATAATTTGGAAAAATCGATATCCTGCAAAAATTAGGATAAGGAACGAAAAAGTTTGGTGAGCACATATCACGAGTGGAAAGTTCACACCCAAAAACTAACCCATTAGTTATAAACCCAAGACATCTCCAATGCATTTTGATATAGAGACCTGATATTCTCCCACCCATCCTATGATCCCTTCACAAGTGGAGTCCATGTCTCGTCTATCTCACTCTCACGGATTGGGTTGTTTGATATAAGTCTAATTAGGAGTTTCACACCAAAAAAGTTTATCTATTAGATGGAGAGACTTCCCCTTATAAGCCCAAGATCTCGACAATGCGCTTTGATGTGGATGTGAAAACTAACAAACTATAGGGGTATACTAAACTTTAGGGAGCTACTTAATAGTTGAGACATAAGGGTGTGGTAAAATTGGCTCGTTTGGTTCACAATTGGGTGTATTTTGGAAAAGTTTTCTGAAAAAAGTAAAAAAAAAAAGTTGAATTGGGCGGGTATTACGATGTAGGATTTATAAATTAATAAAATACCCCCTATATTTGTTATTTTATAAAACACCCCCTATAATAAAATCTTAAAAGTTAACAAAAACACCCCCAACCCAATGTCAAAACACGACAGCCAGCACCACCACCGCGGAGGGTGGCCGGGTTCACCGTATTAGCGCATGACCGGCTGGATTTGTCGGTCGTACGCCGATATGGCCTTTGCCGGCCAGATTCAGGTGGATCTGGCCAATGGTCAGATCTACGGCCAGATCTGGCAGTATTTTCTCATCAACGACGACCGTTGTTGGCCGTCGTTATAAACCATTAGGCCAAAGATCTGGCGTCCAGACGGGCAAGATCTTTGGCCTTAGATCTGGCCTTTTCCGGCCAGATCCACCGTGGATCTGACCGGAAAAGGCTAGATCGGCGCACTACCGGCCAGATTCAGCCGGTAGTGCGCCATTCTAACAGATTCCGGCCATTTTCCGGCAGTGGTGGCCGGAATCTGGTAAATATGAATTACTGGGGTGTTTTTGTAATTTTTAAAAAAAATATTTAGGGGTATTTAATTAAATTATCAAATTTAAGGGGTTTTAAAAAAGTTGAATAATATTGGGAGTGGTATTCCCAAAAATCAAAGTTTTTGGGTATTTTACTGTTTAACTTTTTTGGGAATACTACTTTTAGTATTCCCAATTGGCAACCAAACGGAACCATTATTTTTTCCCATATTCCCAATCCTATTCTCCGAATAATGTTTGGCACATTATTCTAGAAATATTATCCTATTTTTTGATTACTTTTAGACCCCATAAGGTTATTAATTTCATTAAATACCCCCTGAAAAAAAGTTTAAAAAATAACAAAAACACACCCGTGACCCATACTTACCAGATTCCAGCAACCACCATTGGTGCTAGCCGGAATCTGCCACAACGGTGAATTACCAACTGGAATTGGCCAGTAATTCACCGATCTGGCCTTTTTCAGCCAGATCTGACCGTCGTTTTGGCCTTTTCTGGCCGTCGACGGCCACAGCAAGCCGTAGATCTAACCTTTTCCGGCCAGATCCGTGGTGGATCTGGCCAAAAAAGGTCATAACGACGCGTTACGATAGATACAACTGGTCTATGTCGTAATACGATTTTTTGGCCAGATTCTGACGGTGGTGGCCGAAATCTGGTATTATAGGTAGTGGAGGTATTTTTGTCATTTTATATGTTGGGGTGTTTAATTAAATTAGTAAACCTAAGGGCTTTTCTATATATTTTTAAATTTTACCTCGTAATACTTCCATATTTAACTACCCAATATTATTCTCTAAATCCTATCCAAAATAACCAAAGGACCTAATAATATCATGGAGATATTTTCTCTTCTATTTTATCTCTCCAAAGGCGAAGAAAAATGAAAATTAAAAAACATTTAACTGAAAATTTAGAAACAGAAAATAGAAAGCTGCCAGAGCCACGAGATTACGAGGACAGTGATAAGCAAACATCCGCATATCTTAATGCACAAAACCATGCCAATCAAACCCGCTTCACTTCTTTGTTTAAACCACAACATTCTCTTCACTGGCAGCCCTTGCATCACATATCCAATATGCCCAATAATCTTCCACAGAGGTAGAGCATCCACTACAACTTCAATGACAAGAATTGTAATCTTAAAGTGCAAAAGCAGTGGCTCAGAGGAGATAGAAACAGGTAATAACAATTTGAAGGATGCACTTTCTGGTTTGGTGGACCAGCAAGTAGAGGAACTCTTGAAAAAGGAAGAGAACAGGGCTTTGCTTGATGGGTTGGAGAAGGCCTCACAGAGAGTGGAATTGGCCAAGAGAGAGCTTGCTGAAATTGAAAAACAGGAACTTGAGGCTAAGCAATTGAGGGATTATGTTAATCAGCTTGAAAGCAGAGCTTTTGAGGTAGCTTTTGTGGGTTTTACTTTGGAAATACACGTTTTTTTAATTTTATTCACTAAATACTTAGTTCTTTTGCCCAGAGCGAATCTTTACTTGAATGCACTTGTTTGTTTAGTCACGCTAGTTTCTATCTTTATTATTACACTGTGCTTTGTAGATCATTGGGATTGAAAATGAGTAGAATTGAGGAAGAATGCAAACTCCAGATCAAATTCTATTGCTGGTTTATTCTGCCAAAATTTTGATTTATCATCTGTATCTGTGATCGCATAATCTATTGGGATGCTTAAGTGAAACAAAGATGTACTGCTTTTCAGAGGGACGTGATTGATTTTCAATTAGCTTTGGTGGGAAAAAATTATTTCGGGTTGCTCCATTATGATATAAACTTTGGAGAGAAATGTGATTGATATACAATTGGCTTTAGTTGTAAAAATGGATTGATGCTGTTTGATTATGATATAAGGATATAGACCAGATAAGAGTTGAGTCCCATATAAGGAATCAGAACTAATGTTTGGTCAAACACACTACTTTGTTTCTCTTCCTGCCAGGTCTTCCTATGGTATCTAATTAACCATTGATGCATGATTTTTTGCAAATTCAAGCTTGCTGAAACTCAACGGGAAATTGTAGAAGCAAGAGCCATTATTGAAGAAGCGGAACGCTCATTGTTGCTAAATGCAGATGGAATTGAAGATGGAAATGCCTTGGTGGAGAAAGAAAGTGAGGGAGTTGACAGCGGTGTAGAGAGATTGGAGTCCATAACAGCAGCTTCTGTATCTGCTCTTGTTGGTAGCCTTGCCGGGCTTCCCATCTCTTTTACTCAGGTGACTACCAGTTCAGAGCTGATACTCCCTTTGTCAATCAACTTTGTTAGCTGTGCATTATTTGGTGTTACCTACCGATATACAATAAGAAGAGACTTGGATAACATTCAGCTAAAGACTGGGACATCTGCAGCTTTTGGTTTTGTTAAAGGTGATTTATAACTTGTTGCATAAACAATTGGAATTCTCCATCTGCTAACAGAATTAATGAATTATATAAGAAATTCATTGAGCATTGATTCATTTCATTGCAGGGCTTGGAGCTCTATCTGTAGGACCACCATTAGAACTAAACATTGAAAGCTTCATGTCACATGCTTCTAATGCTGCTCTGTATGTATCTGAGAACCTTCTAATATTTTTGTTCGCTGCTGTTAGTCTGGATTTCTGCTTTAAGATGGGGCTTATAAGTCCCTTTCCTATGAAAAGATCAGATTCAAGTACTAATACAAGGTGAAGAACCTAACTAGCTTTAGTTCTGGGTATTCCATGCTGGATTATTTTTTCTTTTATCAGAATATTCCAAGAAGAAAGATGAAAGAAAATATCATTGTTTCATCAATCGGGTGGAAAGCCGGTGTGTTCTCACGGTATGCATGGTTTCCTTGCATATTCAATGATAAGATGCATTGGAGCACTTTTTTACTGAAATAAGTCTTCTGCACAAAGTACCATTTGCTCTCATTGTAGTTCTTGAGTTCCCAAATCCGAAATGTTACGGAAGAGAGCACAAGCCAAGGCATTTTATTTCCATCATCCATGTATCAATGAAACTACCTTAATTGAATTGTTAAACAGCTTCTTCTCCGTCCATATATAAATAGATATTTTGAGTTAAGGTCTAGTTTAATCGTGTTAATGGAAGCTTCAGCATGAAGATACGTCAGTCGAGAGAAATTGCATGTATGTATCCAGCCATCAGTCAGAGGATTGGCTCTTGATAATTTATTAATTCGGAACCCTTTTCGCTCGTTGTTGCTCTCCCTTTACCAAAGTTACGTGAAAAATAACACACTGATGTATCTACCAGATGCTATAATTGAAAATACTGCAAGTTTTTAACTCGTTAAAATTGCTTCCTGTCAGGGTCTCTTATGTATATCGATAGCACATCAAAGGAGAGTTAAGAAAAATGTAAATTTCTTCATGTAGTATGTTATATATCTTGTTAAAAGGCATTAATAGCAAAAAGTAATCTCTCCTTTCAGGTTCTCTAATTAAAAACATACAATCTATTTCTCTCTCAATCAACTCTCCATATAGGTCAAAATATTTGCTACTCTTGCTCTGTTGGTTCTGGAGTGGCATTGATATTTTAAGCATGAAGTTAAACTAAATGCCACACATTGTAATTGAGCGAACTCATACATGAATGCCGAGTTGCTAATATTCCCTTTTCTTGTCGTCATCATCACTATCTCCATTCAAGAGTTCCTCATGCTTGGAGGGCTTTTCAGGAACACCCTGCTGTCGGAACTCATTTCTTGATTGTTCTCCAGCAGATGGCAAATTCATGTCCTCTCCTTTTCTCCCCTTGATATCAAAAGTTCAAACCTCTATCAGACAACAACAAAGATTAATAAGCAAGAAAAGAAATCCAGAGGACCTCAAGCGATCAATACCTCCTTAGAAATGTCTTGATGCCCCTCCATATGACTATCTTTCTTTTTAGTCATCGAAGAAAGATGCTTTTCAGCCTGACTAAATAACTGAAATCCCTGAATATCTCCATTTCTGATACTTGCTTCTAGCTGCAAACGGAAAAGCATTGCATGTCACAAACTCATATATCTACCAGCACTTGCTGACTTTTGACATGTCCCTTACAATAACACATCCCAAAACCAACAGATTAATATTCTTCAAACTCTTAAATTGTATCAGGTGACAGAATTTCCGTCATGCCGAATCTCAAATTTTGATCAGTGTATACATAAACTCATAATGATAGATCTTTCATTTATGTTGATTCTCACATAAGTTTGTATGTAAATCTTCAACATTCTTAACCCCAAAAATTTTATATTGGCTCAATTATGCAATAAGGAAAGTGAAAGATGTATACCTGAACATGAACAATGCAGAAAATAATGCTAGCAATAGGCAACCAACTCTCCTCAGGGGACAATGATAAATTTGACCTATCCAAACGAAGGAAAATAAAATAGTCAAATTCATGAGTAGAATAAAGTTACATACATGCAAATATGAACCATACAGAATTATCCAGGAAAGTTTTTAAGTTTAAAAATATCTNTAATATTCTTCAAACTCTTAAATTGTATCAGGTGACAGAATTTCCGTCATGCCGAATCTCAAATTTTGATCAGTATATACATAAACTCATAATGATAGATCTTTCATTTATGTTGATTCTCACATAAGTTTGTATGTAAATCTTCAACATTCTTAACCCCAAAAATTTTATATTGGCTCAATTATGCAATAAGGAAAGTGAAAGATGTATACCTGAACATGAACAATGCAGAAAATAATGCTAGCAATAGGCAACCAACTCTCCTCAGGGGACAATGATAAATTTGACCTATCCAAACGAAGGAAAATAAAATAGTCAAATTCATGAGTAGAATAAAGTTACATACATGCAAATATGAACCATACAGAATTATCCAGGAAAGTTTTTAAGTTTAAAAATATCTGACTATATTCTCCATTTAGCTCAAAACAGAAGAAATAATGAAGTAGCCCAATTCTTGGAAAGCACTAGTAGGAAGATTTTCTACAAATATTGTTAACAACTGCAACACACAAGGAAACTACATTACACTCTAAAAGAAGGCTCAATGGCTCACTAATCGATTTGGCTTTCAGAAGAAGAAACAGAGGAAGGTGGCAAGCTTATGAAACACTTTAAACCAATAGGATAGTCTACATACCATAAGCACAAATACTATATTAAGACTCCACAGGAGAGTCTTTCAGTGTGCCCAAAGGACATATTTTTTAGTATATCAAATGCAATTTATTGACAAAAAAGGAACTTCTCTGGAAACCCCATGATAGGCATGCACTAAAAAGACAGCCGAATGATCAAAAAAGAAGAAATTGTAAATCATGGGAGACAGACAGCCGGTTGGTATAGACAGAGCATTCTTTCAAATTCGCAGCAAATAAAATTGTATTGGGAATAAATATCAATTTAGAATGAATATCACTACTTCCAAGCATCAAGGTAAGCAAACAAAGAAGTTAATGGTAGTTTCACAACCAATTAAAATTCAACAAGTAGCATTGATCTCTACTTTTTTAATGAAGAAAAATAAAAGACAGAAAAATTGAAATCAATTATCAACCATCAAAACAGCAACAAATAGTAGAAAATTATACCTCAGATAAGGAATCAAGTAAACAATAGAGTACACAGCATAGCGCCTTTTCCCGGTATCAAGCCAAGCAAAAACCCAACTCTATAAACCAAATAGAAAAAAAAAATTAACAATTTAAAGGGATATGAATTTGAAAAAAAAAAAAAAAAATACCATACCAGCCAATTAAAGTACGGGATAAAACTGATGATGCCCATAGCAGCAAATCTGGTATCTGTTGAATCAAGAGCAGTATCAGCATCCCCTTCCTCACTAGTCGGAGTTGGAAGAACTAGTGAGCTTAACATGCAAGCCCCAATTGCAATAACAAACGGCGTGTCGTTTGATAACTCTGCTCTGCATATTCCCCTCCAAACCTTCTTATTCTGCAAATAAATAAATAAATAAAATTACAAACACATAGTACTAAAAAAAGATAATTACTTTGTCACTCTTAGACTCTTACCTTGTTGATAGTTTTATGGGTATTATTCAAAAGGTGTTTAAGATGTAATGGTGAAGCTGCTGGTGGCTTCTTGAGAGAGAATAAAGTGGAAGTTGAAGAGGANCGGGATAAAACTGATGATGCCCATAGCAGCAAATCTGGTATCTGTTGAATCAAGAGCAGTATCAGCATCCCCTTCCTCACTAGTCGGAGTTGGAAGAACTAGTGAGCTTAACATGCAAGCCCCAATTGCAATAACAAACGGCGTGTCGTTTGATAACTCTGCTCTGCATATTCCCCTCCAAACCTTCTTATTCTGCAAATAAATAAATAAATAAAATTACAAACACATAGTACTAAAAAAAGATAATTACTTTGTCACTCTTAGACTCTTACCTTGTTGATAGTTTTATGGGTATTATTCAAAAGGTGTTTAAGATGTAATGGTGAAGCTGCTGGTGGCTTCTTGAGAGAGAATAAAGTGGAAGTTGAAGAGGAAAGCGGTGTCAGAGTTAGGGAAGTCATGACTTCTGAGTAATATGGGTTTCAATTCAGGGGCTTATAACAGTTATTGGAAAAGGATTTTCACAATTTGAGTTGTGAGCTAGAATCTCGGGGCTCTCGCGTTTTGGGAAGCGTGATAAAACGTCGACGTTAGAGTATCCTGGTCGTACAAGAACAAAGACATGTGGGCAGCCATACCGGCTTTGAGTTTTCAGTGTCTTACACCGATCCCTCCACAACAAGCTGTTAAGTTCGGCTTCGCTCAAACAAATTGTACGAGTGCTACCAACTCCGTATTGGTTAACCTTCTTTTTTCTTTTAGAGATGCGGTCTTGAATCGACTTTTATTGAATATCTTACAGTGTATTTGTTTTGTTATTTTGGATAAGATTTTAAAAATAATATTTGATAATTGAATAGGGTAAGTATTACGAGATAAAATTTAAAAATTAATAAAAAAAATCTCTAAGTTTGTTAATTTAACTAAACACCCTAATATATAAAAAATTTATAGAATGACAAAAACACTTCCATCCATTTATAATGCTAGATTCCAACTACCATCGTCAGAATCTAGCTAGAAAATGGGGTTACAACGTAAACAAGTCGGATATGACCTGTCGTGAGTCGATATGGCCATTTTCGACCAGATCTATCACAGATCTGACCGAAAAAGGCCAATCTACAGTCAAATCTGGCCGTCGACAGTCGCAAAATGCCAAATTTGGCCATCAACCACAACCAAAGATATGGCCATCATTGTTAGTCAACGATGGCCAAGATTTGATAGTCATTGACCGTCAACGACGACCATTTCTTTGGTCATCGTTGACGGCCAGATCTAGCATTTTTTGATTAGATTCATTGTGGATCTGACCAGAAAGGTCATATCGGTGAGTTACCAACCAGTTAACAGTTTCAATCGTTTCTATGCCGTTGTGACAGATTCCAGCAACCACCGACGATGGTTGTCGGAATCTGGCAACTATGGGTAGATGAAAGTGTTTTTGTTAATTTTTAAACTTTTTTTTTCTAGGAGTGTTTGATTAAATTAATAAACTTAAGAGGTCTAAAAATAATTAAAAAAATAAAATAGTATTTCCCAAATAATTAAACAAACAAGTATTTTAAAAATAGGGTTTGAAATAATAAAACAAACGGACCCTTACAAATTTAATAAATTGATTAATCTATTAAACACCTAATAAACCTAATAAATCAGTCAAATTACAAATATAATAAATAACCATTATATGAAACTTGAAATCATCCAGATAGATAACTAAAGATGGAGCGTCTTTCCATCTTATCACAAAGCTTATAGTTAATAATTAAATTGAACATGGTTCCGTAAGGGCCCAAACTCGTGACCTACAGCTTCATACTGGTTAACATTACTGAACAGGCCCACTTCTAAAACTCTAATGGGCTTTAATTTCCTTTATAAAATAGTATAATTTCGCAAATATAAATTATTTCTTATAATTTAGTATAACAATTTACAATAACTTTAACATCTGACGTATAATTAATCTTTGAAAAAATTGTTCAAAATTAAAATTGAAAGGCAAAAATCATTGGGCCAAGCTATACACGCACTATGTTCACTATTGATATAAAATAATGTTTGTTGATTAATGAACATATAAATTTAAAGCTCTATTGGGCATAAACCAACATCTGCAAACTATCTTCTTCCTCATTTCCAGCTACCTCTGGAAAGAAAAAAAGACTAATTAGGGTTTACAACTTTAACACAAAACAGGAAGGACCTCCTTCTAGCTTGAATTAAATAAATAGAAAGAAATGACTGACTTCCAGGCGTAGCAGCCATGATTATATGCTTATTTATCATCAAGGTGGCACGGACCTTTAAAGAAATATGTATATAATACTGTTGCGGATGGGTATCCAAAGCCAACGATTTCTGCTTTTCACTATCTTCTTCCTCCATCATCAATGGCCGAAAAGCATAGATAAAGAATATCAAGAAAATACTACTTATCTGCATGATTTACAGTTATTGCCCGAATGTACAGGAGTGACTTTACTCTACAGTAATTGGTAACTTTGGCTCTTTCAGGCAACACCTTCCCTTCCATCTCCATTTTCTTCCTGACCTGATATGGCATGCAGCTGCTGTTGCAACTGTAAATAATAATCAAACCTTCAATGGCAGGATACAAGCTTAAATAATTAAATTCTATATGCCTACTTGGTGCTGCTTCTTTCACTCTCCCTAACAGGTGAAAAATAAATTATCATATATCTTAAAACAGGCACAGGAAGCAACTAGTAAAAACATAGTTCAGAGATCCTAATAAAACTCTAAATCATATATTAAAGAGAAAATATTATTATCAAGTTCAAAAAATCCTAAAAGGTAACTCACTTGATTGAATCTCAACTTTTCAGAAGTTAGTTCATCCGCTAAATTGACCATCCTGCAAAATATTAGATAAGAGAGAAAAAAAAGGGTGTCAAATAATTTCCTTACGTGGAAAAAGATACGGTCATCAGAATTAATTCAGATTTGAAAAGGCCGACCTTGAATGTAGCTCTGAGATCTTGTTAAGCAGCAAACATTCCCTCTCCGAGGCTGCTGTCTCAACCTGCTGAAACAAAATATCAGAGGAGAGGAAAAACATGTACTTGCAGTTAATCATGAAACATCAACACAACGGGTGTTAGACAAGCTTAAAAATGGGTTAATCATCAAAGAGCAGCAATTTCATTATTACATTAAGCTACTACATAACATATTTCTAAGCAGAGAAACTAAACCAGATTTTGGTACAAAGAAAAAGAGATTCCTTATTAAATGGTGAGTTACAATCGGTTAAAATATATGAAAGGAATGCAATAAGTCTACAACAACATTACAAGTGATGAATTCTAAGAATTAATAACGCACCACTCCACAAATTTTTTTGATCCAAGACAATGATTGACCACAGGCATTATGCAATTTATAGCGAATAAACCATGAATTTGCATTTGCGTTTAAAGATAAATAGTTAAGCATCATGCAAGAGACCATTCCACTACAAAGTCATAAACTCAAAACTTACAAAATAACCAAAAATACAGAATAGTAGATAACATGTACTTACACTTCCATTGTTCTCTGCACAGCGAGGCAGTGGAGGCAACTTTCCATTTTGAGAAGCTGAACCAAGAAAGGAGTCCTGTTTCAATACCATATCTCCTAGTACAATCATAGCAAGTATCAAACAAAGACGATTTTATTTACTTACCATCGACAGCCTCAGCTAGTTGCAAGTTATTCAATAAATTCATGATAAGATCCTGGCATTAAAGAAATGGGAAATTTTATTTCAGAATTTGAGTACTTGAAGGCAAACAAAACTAGAGGATAATTATCAAACATATCAATGGTATATCACTGTTTGTCATTCTTCCATCACCTGCTGAAGTGATGTCTGCTGAAAAAGATTCTGAAGATGAGGCACGAGAAGTGATGCTGGCACATTACTGTTGCTCAACTCCTTAGAGGATTGACAAGTTGGCTGGAAAAACATAAAAAAGAACATAATTTAATTAAAGGTCAACTAAATCCTTCAACTAATAAATTACCATTATAGTAACTCAATCCATGCATTTCGCAACTTGATAGTGAATAACACATAAAACTGAAGAATATAAACAAGCCACATAGATACAAGAAGCACTGTACACACCAATGGTTTGGGTTCAAACATCCAATCACCAACGCTGGCAGATTTCCTCAGAGGTGAGCCCTGAAAAACACAGGGTCAGAACATCAAATAAGAAGTATGACATAGTAGCTCGAAACTTAAAGCAAAGATTGGTCACCAACCTGTGATCGACGTGGAACTGTACTTAATGGAATATCCTAAGGAACATTTCTTAGTTAGTGACAGTCACATAACAGAACAATCATAACATAAGAATAGAGCCTCACCTTTACAAGATCTAAATTTTCAGAGGTTACCGAGAATCGCCCTTTAATTTGCACCAAATTAGGCTTTGACTTGTCATCCATAGAATCTCTATATCCTATTAGAGGAGAAATATTCAATATAATTCTGATGCTAGTAAATGTAATAGCAGCATTGACAAGAATGATGATGACAATAACAAAACATGAAATAAAACAATGATAATAATCTCAAATGCTTTTAATAACTTCAGTCACCTCCTGAAGATTTTATGGGAGCAGATAAACTGTTTGCTGAAGCTCGGTTTGGAAGCATCAAAGGACCACTAAAGCTTGGTGGTCTTCGAAGTTGGCTAGCTTTCTCAGTCAGTGGTTGAATATCATTTTCACACCTAATATTTAAGAAACCGTAAGCCAGACAATTTCAAGTGTAAGAGCATACAAAACCAAAGACATGCTATTATCTTTCTTCATATAGTAAATTACCAAACAAACATATTTCCTGTTTGTGGTTTTAACATTTAATCATTAATCATATTTCATACACCATAGAGAAATTTTTCAACACTTGCAACAAAATAATATAATAATTCATGAAGTACTTCCATTCTAGTGCCAAATTTCCTATCATGGGGGCAAAAATAATTGGGTCTCATTCCGAAAAAATAAAAAAAAATACCCCACTCCACCTCTTCATCACAATCAGAAATTCTCTTATTAATAAAAGAACTACAGCAACATTTATGTATCGACCAAGTATAAATGCCACCAGATGAATGTTTTAGACCAAAATTAAAAAGTACTGCACCTCCATGGCTAAGGGTCAACACCTAAACCAAAAATTCTCGCCTATGTTACAGCTGAAAACAATATTCAACCCACCTAAAGAAGTTGACATCAGAACTAGCCCTTCATGATTATCATTACAGAAAAGCTAAACAAAGCTCAAAATTCACAAACTGCTCTAAAAATCAAATGTACTGGTGACTTGGCCCCTAAAGTTGTGGCAACAACTTATGGGCATAAACTCCTGTATCTGCTGCTTGGGCACAAAATCAGCTTAGAGTAGAAATTACTGGTATTGCAAAGCAGGCTGTGG